GTCGACGAAGCAGACGATGTGGCTGGAACTCCATTCTCCTCAGACAGCGAAATCGAAAGTGATGGCGTCAGCTGCGACGAATGCACCTTACGTAACTACGAAGGTGATGAGTAATTCCTCTAGCAGTCAATAGTTTTCAAAATGAATATTGCCTTTTCAGTCGAAAACTGGACTTGTGAGTCGATCAGCCAAATTGATCTATCGATTGTTTCATGCTGACTTCATGATACTATAAAAATGTCAGTATAGTGTACCCCCCGTCTGGGTATTGTGCGAATGATCGTCGACATTGTGCGCAGACAGCATGCATCGAGGAACACCGTACTCCATGTATGGGAGGCAGTGCGAGTATATGGTCTCCTTAAGAGTGTTCCAGTTTGGTCCTTCGAAGACATGCTGTGCGAGGCGTCTGCCGTTGCTGTCTCGTCCAAAAACGGTGTCCTTGACATTGATGTCTACACGAATGCGCAGCAAGTTGTCGTTGGTCGAATGTGGAGAAGGCACAGGAGTCACGGGCGAGGCGTCTCTCGTTTGCTCGTGGTGACAAGCCGGAATGGCTTGTACTTGATTGGTCAATTTTACACAATTTCCTGATTGCTCATTGGTCTAAACTGTCTGCCCATTCTTCTGCCGGTTCTCGTCTGTCGATGCATTCGGCAGGTAGGTCCAATTTTGAATAAACACAACAATAGTATTTACTGCAAAAGCACCAAAGAGGTTGTGATCTCTGGAATTTGATGAATTATCCGGAAGGTCGGTCGATCCCTTCGACCATTGTTATAGTAATTTCCAGGAAAACCCAACTGCGAAACATAATCAGCTGATACAAATTTCAAGATATTTCACTAATAGGGAAAGCCCTGGCGACCGCCACGACACACTGTTGAAAGTCACGTACCGTAGTTGATTTGTTAAGTGGGAACTTCAAAAGCCTCCGTAACTGAACGCTTTCATCCATTGAGTCTACGCTGCGCGCCACATGATCCGCGTGGATTTTGTTCTGTACAGTCTGACCTTTTGTGATCTGTGGCAAACAATTCAGGGCCCGACACCTGGAGACATGCTTTGTGTTAGAAATCAATCATTTAAACCCCGAAACCCCGGTATGGAACGTTCATGAGTCGTCAAAGTGCTCCACCCGCGTCGCGTCACGCAAAACCACATTCAGTCTTTTGAGGATGAAATTCACCTGATGCGTCAGTTCTCGATGCCACATCCTGTTCAAGTTGATCGGGACTGCGCGGATTCGGCCGTCCGACCTGCAGTGCGCAATGGAATTCATGGACGGTGGCGACTTGAACGACTATTTGACCAGCCATACCCTGGTCACGTCCCCTGGTATGCCGCCCCCACATGCACAACATCGCGCATGGGCTGGTGTACTTGTGTTCTCTCAGCATCATTCACCGCGACATGAACATGAACTGCTCGACTCGAAGAAGCTTGCCAAGTTGATCGGGACTGCGGAAGAAGATGTGTTGGTGGCCATGACGAGTCGGTGGAAGGCCCCTGAAGTGATGCAAGAACGCAACTATACTGTCTCGGCATTCATTCTTTGTGAACGTCAACTGTAGTATTGCTGGAATGACGATTGATTCTAGGGTACAATCTGAATTCGACACCCACCTTGTGCATCGACGTTTTGTATACCCTTCGAACGGTCAATCGATCGTAGACTCGGCAGTGTCCATCGAAGTGATCTGTGCAAGCCGACGATCTTCAGCAAGCGCCCGCAGTGGGTGTACGGCATGGCCCAGAAATGCCCCACGACCCAGTCCAACGGCCCACAGCCAAGCAAGCAGCTCCGCAATTTCTCGTATGAAATGGCGAGCTGTCTCAAAGAGTCACTCTGGTCCCTCGAGCTGACGTGTGAGCCAACTTCCAAAATCGCTTCGACCCTCGACTGCTTCGTACTTGGACGTCCGAAAGTTGCTCCGAGTCCACCATATGCGTACCCTCCGAAATGTGAGTGTGCGCACCGTCGTCGGGTGTTTTACTTGCGTAGGTTTGTTTGGATGTTTACGAGCTTCGAACTCTGGGTTATCCTGCAATGATACACAACAACCCAATCGAGTCACACGCTTGAACCCTTGTTGGCGCGTTCGTCGTCCGATTTCCACGATCCTTCCCAATGATGTCGAACCAAACAAGATGGTTTGCCGACGCAGTCCCCACCGGTCCACTCGGACCCCAGGATGCACACCTCTTCGTTGGAAGTTGGGTTGACTTTCATACGCAAGACTTTGCTCCGGTCGGTGGCCAACGTAGAAGATGCCGCGTCAAGAGGGACGTCGTAGTGGGGTTGGCCCCACTGACCATACTGCGCGAGATAGTCTGTGATCACGGCGCTTCCTGCGACTTCTTGCACAGACACGTTCGGGTCGTGGCGAGGGGTCATGGTGCTGTAATGCTGGACAATGTGGGCGAGGAGGTTCTTCAAGAAGGCCGACCGTGGCCGTCGGGCCCACATGGTCCACGTCTGCAGCTGACCCTTGCGAGTGTACCAGTGGATGCACTCGTCGTCGTAACAGTCCACCTCGACACCAAAGAACACGTCGCACGTGGCCAACGCTGTGCCAGGACCAACCCACTGGTCTGGAAAGGACTTGAGCGGTTCGACGTCCATGTCGGTGACGAGACCGCCGCGGTAGTACAGCACAAGGAGCTTGAGCAGGTCGGCTTGGAGAATGGGGCGATACGCGACATCGAGATACATGGCGCGCTCGTCTGGCGTGATGGCCGCGAGGAACGGATGGTCGTCGCGAATGAGGTCGATGGGGCACTTGGGACTACCACGAGCGAGCCACGCGCTGATGCGGTGGAACGTCGTGTAGTCGTGCTTTGGGCCAGCAAAGACAAACTGGACGCTGCAGACATCGGGTCCCGACGTGAGGACTAAGTGAGCTTGCGAGGGACGGGCGCCATTGCCGTGGATGACGCCGTTGGACAGCGAAGACAGGGACATGGATGTTTGAAGCGTGGGCAAGTTGACGCAGAATAGGAGAAGCAGCAAGCAGCAACCGACAGGCACCACGGTCCGCGCGTTGGAGAGCGATGCTGCCAGCGCCATCGTTGGAAATGCCGTGGCATCGCACAAGCCGATGACATTCCATCGAGTACAGTACAAAACAATGTACGGATGGATAAAACGCCGAGTTGTGGGGAGGGTGTACATGACTTGCAATGTTAATATTGAGATTAAGGTGTGTCGCCCTCCCCACGTCGAAAATCGATCCGCTGGTTGCAAACAGCGGGCCAAGAGTAGTATCCAATGGGAGGAAGAATATCAACAACGCGGGTCACTTTCGCCCCGTCGACGCATGAATACTGATCTCCCCCCGCTAGTCGAACAGTTGTTCTACAACGAATTCAACGCAGCATTAACTTAAATAGGTACAAAATGCTAAACAATCGATCACAACCAATTATTCATCAACATCTACACGCAAACTTGAAATTCGACCACTGAATGCATCAAGTCCATCGTCCAAAATCCCGGTTCTGGCCCAGAAGTTGGTCACGGTCGACTGCAAAACTGACCGTCACGCATCTTTGGCCCATCCCATCGCAATATCGAGCGGTACTTCATATAGATGGTCTTGTCGACCAGCCATAACGGAGTTGATCTGATCTAACGCGTTTTGTAGCTGGCGTTTCTTGACATTGGCCTTGAATGAAGCGATAATTCCAGCGTCCTGTGGCTGCAGGTACGCAGTCGTCGTTTTGGCAACGTTTTGACCGTCATGTTTCGAAGACTTGATGTGGTGGAGCATTGTCGACGAGCATGAGGACCTTGCGGTCCTGATCGGGTATCATTGCGTCGATTGACTCGACGTAGGAATTGAAGATGTTTGCATTCATCCATCCATTTTTACTTGACTTGTAGATGAAGCCAAGTTCTTCGGCAGACTGGCCAAGGAAGCAACGTGGGTTGGCAGCGGTGCCGATGAACAAAGGATCGACGCGGTCAGTGCACCATTCGTCGTTACCGCAATCGTTATTCGTTTTTTGGATTTCTTCGTTCCAGGTACGCGGCTGCGAGTGATCGACCGATGTGGCGACAAGCAGTAGAAAAAGTACGTTTCGTCCATGTTGAGGACATTTTGAGGTGAATAACCTGCTGTCATGTCTAGGACCTGGTTTCGACCGACACGAACGGTTTCTCTGGGCGTCGATCCTGCCTCTCCATGTTGGACCCTGCTCTTGAAAACGTGCTTGCGTTGGAATTTGAAAAGCCAGACCTTTGAAGAGGCTAGTGTCCGTGCCGTAGGGATGCCAAGTTCAACGCAAAAAGCCTTTGCCTGGTTGCGGTTGAGCTCTCCGGTTATGCACACGCCCAATTCTTCGCAGTGACTGACCCAATCAACAAGGTTTTGTTCCACCTCCGGTAATGAAACGCGTTGTTCCTTTCTGCGTTGTCCTTTGTAGGCCCATTGACTTTCAGTTTTGTATGTCTTGAGAATGAGTCCGATGGTCGATTTTGAGGGAGTAGATGAGAGGCCAAAAGTTTCTTTAGCCCATAGCGCAAGTGCTGAATAAGATGCATTACTGTCGCTTAAATGCTTTGCGTACAGCTCGTGCTTCTCGACTAGGGTCATCCGCTGCTTCATCTTGAAATGGATTTGCAACAATTGAATGCGTTCAAATATTGGAAATACCTTCAAAAGCAAATATTATTCATAAAATTATAAAGTAAGGTCCGTTCGATTAGCGGGGGGAAATCAGTACAGTGGCTTTCAATGTAAAACATACATATTTAAAAACATACTACCTCTGACTGGTAATAAGTGCAGGTGGTGACAAAATGTGGTGATAAAGTTATCAGATTGGGCTAAAAACTAGTGGATAGAAATCTACGACGAAGACGATTTTCGTCATGTTTTTTGCGGAATTTGATTTGCACAACTGCACTTGCTACGTCGATGACAAGTCGCCATACAAAAACCAAGATAAACCTGACCAATGACCAGCACATGTCCCTTTACCAAGACCTGTTTAGAGTAAGCACAAATGCTGCTCTAACGCGAAATCTAGTGGAACGTGTTTGCAACGATGTTGGTGTACATTCACCGACTGGGTGCGCCTCTGGAAGCGCGGGAACAATGGAGTTGATGAATGCGCGGCTTGAGGAAGTGGATCGCATGGATGAGCTTGCCGACCTGGTCAATGCGATGTCAGTGTGAAACTGTTTAAATTCAGATTCATTGTACTTAACATTTGTATATCCAGGAATGTTCGCTTGCACTTTTTACCGGTAAGAGGTAGTACATCAAAAATGGCACGAACAAGGCACGAAGCCATCCATCGGGAGGTGCCAATTCAAAGCAAAAACGGTTCCCTGATTGGCTGCCTATTGGAACGAGTCAGATATTGGTATCAAAGTACCAATGCAACGTATGTACGATACGCAAAATTCTTGCATTGACCAAGGCCAAGGCGCCTTCCATGGCAACATGAAGGTGTCTCTAGCCAAGAAAAGGTAAGGCAAGGTTGGCAGGAAAATGGCCTTCACAGCCGAGCAAATGATGCAAAGATGCAGACACCGCTTATACAGCGAACGACACTGTGCTAAACCTCCGAAAGTACTGGTTACAATGTACAATGGACCTTCCAGTAAGTAAATCACGTTTTTAGGAGTAAGTCGCGGCTTATTGCACCGATACCTACCCCTTGGCATATTCCGTGCACATTCGAATACTATTCGTCCATTTTTGAAGACGCGAACAAGTACAGCAGTTTGTCCGTGCTGTGCCTTCGTTCGATTTGCCATTTTTTGTAGGCAACGACGGACGAGCTCTTGGACTTCATGGTACGAATTTCATTATACTATTTTGATCCGTCATGACCTAACGCCTTGTTTTCAAAATGCAATCGACTGATCAAGCAGGAACTACTACCGTACAAAATCGCTGGAGGGCTAAAAATCCATATATATCTACAGAATCATGTCACTTCAAGAGTTGTGTTGTGAATTGTGAATAACTAACATTGAGAGAGTATAAATTCATTTTCTATTTGCCAAGGGGCTCGTTTAGAATGAAATTGACAGAAAGCCCCCTACCTTGTTGGCAACGAAAAGTCTGCGTTGGTTCCGCATGGTGATGTTACATTGGATCTGCACTTCACAAAAGGTAAACTGCAAGCACTTCTATTCAAAACCTTTAAATTCGAATGATCTTGACGTAGCTGATCAAAATTGACAGCAAGCGACGGGACTTTGATGAGACCTGCGCTAGCACAAACAATTGATTTGGTTGTCTAAGGTTTCGGCAGTATAAAGCTCCCGCAATTTGTTCAAGCATACGCCACCAGCCTAGGCCGTCACTCCTTGATCGCTAAGTATATTGTATACTGTATTCTAATATTGGCTTCTGCAACTTTCCTAGCTTTAGGACTTCAACTCGGTAGTCGTTGGCTTCTTCGTTCAAGTGGTAGCTGCCATAGATGAGCTGTCGCATGAATTCCACGAGAGGCTTCATGTCCGTACGCCGTTGCCTGGAAAGACCGCATATTTGGCCCCATGGGCGTGGTGCCTATGTATACCACTCGCACCACAAGGTCGAAGCTATAGCTGCATCGGCACAACATTTCCTTTCTGTTACTTCAATCGAATCTTGGACGGAGCTTTTTCCCAGTTTCTATTTTGCAGTGGCCGCGTTCTCAGTCAACTCCAATGTCCCTTCAACATGCATAAGCACCTCTTGATCTGCTCGGTGAGAACAGCGATAAGATCACTGCTTTACATAAGGTGATAATGTAGTCACCTCCGAAGCTTTTTGAGTTGGCACTACCTTTTGAATTGCGTTGCCCATGCCACAATCAGGTCAACACCAGCATCCTTGGCAGTTAGGTGATTCTTGACATCGAAGGGGATATGCTCGCAGCGCTATCAACTTTGAATACGACCGTAGTACAAACTTCATAAGTAGTGATACTACTTCATCTTCACGTTGTACTTGGCGTCTTGCATTCCCATGCATCCAATAAATACGTTCTTTTGAACTCGGTTAATTGCTTCCCGAGTGGTTGAGTCTAGTGACCTTAGTGACACTACTACTTCACCTATACGTTGTACTTGGCGTCTTGTATTCCCATGCATCCAATAAAAACGTTCTTTTGAACTCGGTTGATTGTTTCACGAGTGGTTGAGTCGAATTCAGCAAACTTAGGATACGCAATAGAAGCACTAACGGGCCAAGTACTCAACACACGAGCCACATTTTGGTCATTGGATGTGTTGAAGGCAAAAGCAAATGCCTTGTTGTCGCTGGCATGTTCCGACTCCCACAGTCATAGATCCATTGCGGTGACAAATCGGATGAACTGTTGGTATGCTGGGCACCACCACGGCGAAATGAGTGTGACGTCGGCTCGGCAGCAATACCAGCAGTTTTCGAAATACGATTCAATATCTGATTGACGTAGCTGTGTAAAACGGTAGAGCAGCTGCAGAGTTCTAATTTGGTGGCACTGCAGGCGACACCATTGTAGAGTCCAAATGTAAAGGATCGAGCAATTCGAGCAATGGTGTCGAAGAAATTCAAGCGGACTGAGCAACATGTCCACTTGAAGGTGACCAAGCAAAGACGCACTGGGCGTAGCTCCAGGACCAACGCTACAGAAGTTGCGGTGAGAGGGCAAACAAGGAAGTTATCGTGATAATACAATGACTACCCTTGTTCTTCCAAGTCTTCATGCGCAATAGGCGAACAATCAACGCACTGCCAACAGTAAGTGTTAGGTTTGCCACTAGTAGCAAGGACGATGCTAGTCCGAACACGTACTAGAGCAAACACAAGAGAGTAGCGTCTTGATAATCAGTGGCCGGTACACCGAAGCATATTGGTACAACATCAGCGGCCGCAAGTGCTCTTTAGTACACGCCGCTGCTTTCTTTACAAAGCCATCCGAGTTGTGCTTGAGGCAGTAGCGATCAAGTGTTGTGCCGAGCTTGAGGAGCCTTGCAATGCTGGATTCGGTTGTTATTGGTCAATCAACCAATAACAACCGTTTCACATGACGGAAAAACGACATGACCGAATTGGGCGCCAGTTGCTGTCCGTTCTTCATGGTGAGGAAAGCCAA